ATTTAAGATGGAGTATAACGTTTATAAAAAAAACACAAAAAACCACACAAAAAATACAATAATTTCAACTTTCTAAAATGTTTTTAAATCTAACCATCTCTATCAATTATCTCAAAAGAAATTTTAATTAATTTTTACATACAGTTTACCTAAACAAACTTACGTCGTTTTTTTGCCCTTTCCTAGTTTTGAATAAAGTTGTTCTTTGTCTTCTGGCTTCAACTTTCCAAAACCTTTAATGCTGAAAACATTATGTAATATTAAGATTTTGTGTACCATACATTTAATTTAATATTGATACTTATAAAATAATGTATAACATGTAGGGATCTCAAAATTGTACTCAAATGTTGAACAAGGGTCTATTTACTTTAAACATTACCATGCTGTATTACACTATAATTAATCACATCAAATGATATTGTGTGTTGAGTCTAATTAAAATTATGCTATCTATCAATAAATGGAAAACGTTTATCTGCCAACACTTAAATGGTTGAAAACAGTGGTTCTAAAACAAAGTCCACACTTAAATTCTATATCTGTACTACTACAAAATTTTTTACGAAATGTATTACAATAATTCTATCTAATTTTTTTTCAAGTAAAAACCAAACAAGACATCACATGAAAAAAATTGTGGTGTGGGACACCTCTCAGACCTTCATAAATTTTTAAACCAAATGTTACATTCTTACTGACAGATATTATGCTATTTTTCAAAGTAAAAATGTAAGTATTTTTTTAAATTGCGATATCAAGCTTACAACTATCACAAATATTACCCAAACTGTTTAGAAAGATTCTTCTCTAAAATTAAATTTCACCAATTAGCAGAAAGCAATAATAAATTATCTTTAAAACTGAAGCATTTAAATGGTCTGAGACATTCAATTCAACCTACACAGAAGGGTCCATTTCTTCAGAAAAACCCAGCTCTTCTCGTTTTTCAACAAAGCAATCAACATGATGCCATAAGTCCTGGGGTCCATACATCACTGCCCTCTGAGATTCAAACTCTTTCTTACTAATTCGTAAGCTATCCTGAAAAAAAACAAAAAAAAAACAAGTAGCTAAGGTATGGTTTAACATATAACTAACACAAGTAGTCAACCAAATCAAAAATGAAATTAAAATAAAAGTATACACATAAACATTAACTTAGAGCAAAAGGCTTATCTGTACTATTAGCATGATCACATTAGAAGACAATTTCCAACTGAACAAACCTTGGAAATAAATTGTTCACAACCTCTGCACTGGCTTCGTCCTGATTTTGCATACTCTGTTGCAAATTCGTCTCCTCCACTTGAACTTGTCCCATCATCCCCAGCAGCGCTATCCGTTCCACCTGAGAAACCAAATCAGTTATACTAAGATTTTCCAAATTGGTGAACTAAACAAAAGGACCAATTTTACTATTTATTTATTTTTCCAAAATTCAAAATTTGAAAATTAATTTAACTATGTTAATTTATCACTACATGCCTGGGCCAACTTTTTCCTTTATCTTCTGCTGATCCTCCCATCTGAGAGTGTGGAAATTGTATATATCATCTGGGTTTTTGCATTTAGCTCTCTTCCAAAAGCATTCATAATGAAACCAGTTTGGAACCTTTAAAAAAAACAAAAACATTTAAGCTATTGACACAATAATTATGGGATACAGTAATAAAAATGCACATTTTAAAAAAGTAAATAGCTTAAAACGTTCTATTAAAATATTTAAATATATCAAAACACAAAACTTGTGTCAAAAAATGTGTCAACAAGAAAATATATAATAACCAATTTTTGGAAAATAAGTTATGTTGTATAAAGAATTGCTTACCTTTCCATCAAAATGTGGGGACTGAAAGTAAAAATTTTATAAGAAAAATGAATTATTTTATAAACTTAAGTTAACGTGGCTACTGATTAAATTGTAACTTTGTATGCACTAGATACTGAAAAGCGCATCCATCAAAAAAAAAAAACAACAACAAAACTGATACAATAAGATAAAATACTTTATTGATCCAAATAAATGGAAATGTTTTTTTTTTTTATTACATTGTACATATTTAAAGTAAAAATTTTATAAAAAAAATGAATTATTTTATAAACTTAAGTTAACGTGGATACTAATTAAATTGTAACTTTGTATGCACTAGATACTGAAAAGCGAATCCATCAAAAAAAAAAAACAACAACAAAACTGATACAATAAGATAAAATACTTTATTGATCCAAATAAATGGAAATGTTTTTTTTTTTATTACATTGTACATATTCATTTTCAGCACATAAATAAGTAGGCCTACATATTTTTAAACCAAGACAACATATTACAGTTAAGAATTTTAACACAAGACATTTAAAGTATTTCTCTAGCATAGAAACCAGCATTAAAAGAAGTGACAATATTGACTTAATTAGTGATCACTTAGATTTGGTAATCCCTGGGGAAGCCCGCTGGTAAATTCACACAGACTGCAGAACAAACTAATTTTTATATGTTTCGGTCCAAGCTTTAAGAGAAAGAATTCGCCCTGATCGAGCTGATCTAAAGTATCTCTGATGAAGTGGAAACTGAACTGAACTAAACTGAAAATGGTGCCAGGAAAATTGAGTGGATCATTCATCTGAAGTAATTTAGTGTAATTGATTGCCAGAAAAATATCAGAAATGCACGTATGAGCAAGTTAGATGCTTACAAATTACTGATCAATCTGTAATAAAAAAAAAATATATAGCAATTAATTAAAGTTAATTTATTAGAAATTAAAACTTTTCATTAAAAAACTGGTTGAAGAGACAGAAACTGGTGCCCCCCTGATTCAAAACATTTGAACCATGTCCCTAGACCAGGGAAATTATCTGATAATCACCACCGTAAAAGCAGACCCTAAATGGCAAAGTTATGTGCAATCAACCAATGATTTTATTATTACAAGTATTCAAATGATGAAGATTTCTCTTACATCAAAAGCTGACATCATTCAAGATTCAACTTAATAGAGAATTGAAAAAAAGTGGCTTTTGTACAAGAAAAATTAAAACATTTATCTTTACAGACCTGATTACATTGGAACTCCCAAAATAGTACAATACAGTCTCAGAATAATACTATAATATAATAATAATAGTACAATACTGATAGATTTATATTCAATGCATCATTGCAAATAAAAGGTGCCCGTCATTAATGACTTTGATAGACGAAGATGTGGTGGAGGAGCGGAAATTGAAGATGCCTGCTAAAGTCACACAAAAGTTGGGGAGGAGGTTGAGCCCCCTTCAGATTTTTTTTCATAAATTCACAATGTAGGGATGCATCTAAGCGTATACCCTTTTGCATTATTCTACATTTAATCGCAATGGTTATAGAAAATTAGGTGCCTCTTAACAGGCTATATTTATTTAAATCATTTTATTTTAGTAGTTACTAAATAGTAAATTTGTTTTATATAGTAAATATTTATTACTTATTTCAATATACATACTTTTTTTAAATGAAATATAAGAACAAGGTATGCTAATCTTGAATTCATAAACAGGACAAAAGATTTTGACGTTTTGGCTAACAGCCTTCATCAGAAAACAAGACAAAAAGAAGTATAACTAGTATCTTCACACTTCAACAGAGGGCAACATTATTATGATAATTTTTATGCTTATCATGTGCTAATTATTATAATTAAAATTGTAAATGAAAAATAGCCCCAAATATGTCTATAGTTACCATAATAGTTTTACTGCATACAAAGCGTGATATAAAAAAAAAATCTTGTTACTTTAGTTAAATGAAACTGTATAATAACGTGATTAGGCTTAAAGATGACAACATAAGCTTAGGCCGTTTAAGAACATGGTTACGTGACACACACACCCCCCCCCCTCCCGCCCCATTTTTTATTTTCTGTTGGGTAATAGGGCTACTGAGTATTATTGACACAACTGAATCCTCGTTAAATTATAAAACTAAAGGCATTTAAAAGCATCAATGTTTTTATGTACAATTAAACAATTTCATTGGGTATATTGTGCATCTATAACACAAATTAATTTAACATCTTGGAATCACTATTTACTATTTATTTTTTAATGCTATGCAGAATCAATGTTTTAAACTGCACAGAATCCGATGAAACATAAGCTGCAATACATATAATCAAATTTTTTAGCACACGTTTAGTTAGTGACATTTCTTTGGCAACATGAGAGCGATTTCAGCGATGTAATAAACAATTTTTTTTTTTTTTTAAATGATTACCTATACTTTTAGTCAACACTGCACTAAATCATCTATCACCCCATAGTCCATAGCCATAGTTAACTACCAAAATGCCACACTGGTAGTGGAGTACTCAATGTCAATAGCTCTCTAGAAGCTATTGGCATACTATTGGTAGTTTACTAGAAATAGTAATAGCTCCCAAGAAGCCATTGGTAGTTTAATTTGGGGGAGGGGAATATCGTCTGAAGTGGCTATTCTGAAGACATTCAGAACCCAGTCCGAATAGTCATAGTGGCTATACGATTCCAGGTCCTTTAGCCTTTAGACTAAATGCTATTCGTGTCATTTGTGGGAGTTTATTTTAGTTAAACTGAAGAAGTGAGTTTACAAAAATAAAGTCCATTCAATTATCTTTCATTTGATACCTAATTTTATCTAAAACTAACACTTACAAACTCCTACAATAATATTTTGAATATTTTTTAATAAACCCAAACTCTCACTTCTGATACCCCGGTCCGAATAGCCGCACCCAATATTGTCAATGGAAATATTACGGTCTACCATTGTGATTGTTACATAATGTCAGCACCCAATATTGCCAATGGAAATATTACGGTCTACCATTGTGATTGTTACATAATGTCAATGTTATTGAGGATAATTAGGGGAAATAAATAAAAAATATCTTATTCTTTTGTTACGAAATATGCACGGCCGGTAAACACTGACTGAGTCAATCACTTGAATCAGATTCGACTGATTCGTCTAATCTAAACGTCTAAACTAAACATACCTGCACCATAACAGCAAGCCTCAGTGAATCTTGACTTATTGTCTTTTTGCAGAGTTTGCAAGATGATCTACCACTTTTCGCATATTCTGCCTGAAACGGCAAATCATGATGAGGCATTTTAATACTTCGATTTTCAAAAAATGGCAGCGAGGGTGTGACAAATATGCAACAGTGATGGCTGGGGTCCACCTCGACAAATGCCTGACAACGGCCAGATACTGCCTTTCGCGGGAGTTGTAGAGCACAAACTGATTTCTTCACTAGAGACCGCGAGAAATCAGCGAAGCAAAAAGTTATCTCCATTCCAAACCCCTTAACGCAAATACACTTTCATAAATAAATATATTGTTTCTCTTTTTTTTTAATGTTGCTATCCGTTATTACGCAAATAACTTAATCCATAAATAAATTCTAGTCTGGTTTATTTTAAAAAAATTTTTAAAAAATTAGCTAAAAGCCCCAAACCTTATGACAGTTTCAGCAAAAATTCTCAACACACAGTACAGTTCTCCTTAAAAATGTATACATTTTTTTGTATTGCTGTATGTCAAAAATTGAATAAACTATACAAATCGCAGGAAAAGAAGAGTAGTGGCAAGTAATAATTAATACAAGAAGACTTGGAAAATAATAGCTTATAAGTTAGGGACGCCCATTAATTACGTCAACAAAGTAGGGGGGGGGTGGTGGAAATGTTTGACAGTTGTTGACAGGGGGGAAGAGNTTAAATCTTAATAATTGACTAGTTCTTACATTATTTTAAACAATTTAATGAGTTTAAATTGTCAAATATGTTTAGGCTTTTGACAATATAAGAGTTATTTAATGTGTGTCTGTGCACTGCAGATGGCTGGTCAAAATGTTAGCACACTTTGTTAGTGCAAGAGAAATCAAAAGTTGGCATCTCTGCACCTGACATTTTTCTCTTAATCCGCTCCCTAAAATGATTAACACATCATTGTACACGGTGTTCAATTAAAAAAAAAAACTCATCGGTGTTCAATAACAACTATACCAAATCAAAGATAGAGAGAGCTTTAATTATGGCAACTATTGATCACACAGACAATGCTTCGATTTAAAGTGCTGAATAGTTAGATATGGATGATGTTGACTTGTCTGGTATATCAGTTCCACGCGATGAAAATGATCAATCAGCTACCATTGACTATGCCCATCAGGGGCGTCATTTCAGGGGAAGGTAGGGTGGGGTAAAACCAAAACTTGGTCAGCTTGTTAAGTTGTTTATTACTGGAGGCGCCACAGTACATAGCAAGTTAAATAAAACCAGCAAAATGGGGGGGGGGGGTGCAGATGCCCCCCTTGCATTTCCTCCCTGCCCTACCCGCCTACCCAAATCCCCGATGCCCATTGTTACGATAGAGCAACACCTAGCAACTATATGGGAAGATAATAGCAGCTAGAAACTATAATATAATTGTCAGCTATACTGACAATAATCAAATTTATACTTCCACAAACAATTATATTTAGTCTTCAACAAACTTTTAATTGATTCTGCATTATAAAATTTAAGTGTAAAAACTTTTATCAAACTTGTTGATCAACAAGCTAGAGATGCAATAAAATGTTTTCCCTACAATTTTGTGTTATAAAAAATGTAATGCATCAGCACGAAGTCAAACGTATTTATAGATTTGTAGTATAATTCATTTTTTTTTATTTTTTGGGGTGGGGGGGGGGGGAAAAATTTTGCCTTATTTAATTGGTTGGGGGGGGGGGGTGTCGAGTGTTGGTATGGGATAAAGTTTGAAGTTGACAGGGGGGGGGGTCAAAAATGTCGGATAAATTTTTGACGTAATTAATGGACGACCCTTAAGGAAAGTCAGGATGAGGATATGCTACTAAAAAGTTTTATAATTAAAGACGACTTGGTCAAGTCTGAATTTTTTTTTATTCGTTTTCACTGATCCGTCTACAAATAATTTCTGTGTGTGTTTTTAACCATTAACCAATATGTTAAAACTATAACTTCTTCTAGATGGCTATGCACAGACAGTCACCATGTATAAACATTAGTTTAATCTATCTTTAAGATAACCTGATAACTCCTAGCTTAGAAAAAAAAAGTGTATACAAAAAATTACTAAAACGCATTGGGCGCACATGAACTAAAAGTTATTTGCAAATCACTAGCAGGCATGCAAATGTATACATGATACATGTGTCCATCATTGTATTTTATTTCATGGGCACCAAACGCATTTTTATTCATTTGAATGTAACAACTATGAAGTTTTGGGAGGACATAATTTATTTTTTACTTTCTAGCACAGTTTTGAAATAGAGTGCTTTTTAAAAGTATTTATATATTATATATAAGAATGAGCTATACTGACGTAACTCCAAAGAGCAGAAAAGATTTAAGTACGTTCGGATTCCTAAAAACAATCATAGTTATTTTCTATTATTTTACAAAAATCGAATAAATTTAAATGCGCAAAAAATATTTTTAATCCGCTTTTATTTTAGTAAACGTTTAAGTATTAGTAACTATTTTAAGCATTTTATATATGTTAAAAGTTATGAAAAATTTTCTAAAATTTGAAAATCACGATCAAAGAATTACACCGTCATCACATTTATTAGGAAAACCCAACATGAGTCATTTTAGTGCGTCTTTTAGTGCGTTGTTAATATTGTGAAATAAAATTTTAAATAAATTTGTTCTAAATAATCACGCAAATGACGTCATAGGGCGAATAGCCTATTTCTCCAAAACTCTTAGGTTTCTTTAAATTTTATAACCATGCAATGATAAAACAGAAAATGTAGTTTAAGTCAAACAGTGCAATGTAACTCCATAGCCAAATAGCATTGACTAATCCACTTATAACTAAAACAAAAAAGGACGAACCATATGAAGTGCAAATTATTTTAGTTTGGGTGTGGAAGGGACTACAATCCAGTGGAAGATTTTTCTAAATTTATTTAAATCTGGGTGGGGGAGGGGTTGGTTACTTTGCCCCAGGCAGCACTATATACTTCTGAAAATAAAGGAATGATTTTGATAAATAATTAAATTTCTTGGGTAAATACATTTCAGAGATAGGAAATCATATGTGTACATTTTTACGTGGATGACAATATAGTTAACTTCCTATCGTATTACATTTGTGAAAAAGAGGTGTTACATTCTCTTTTTACAAATATACATATGTTTACCAATTAAGAAGATCAATGGCGTTAACAAATCTTGGGTACATTTATATAAGTATACCCATGAATATCAAAACCCAATCATTTTACACATTTGAAAAATTAATTTTGAAAAATAGAGATGGGTTAATATTTACTTTGAAAAAATTAAAATATATTTTTGTTTTTAATTTGCAAAAAGTAAATAGATGTGAATTTTATGAGATTTACCATTTAAATTAAAAAAAAACAACAACACTCAAATCTGTTATAGACGTGAAAAACGGTTGGGTGATTCTTCTTTAGATGTGTACATTTGTAATTCAAGGGCACGAAAAGGGGTAAATATAAAGTATTTCTCTAACGTATTAATTGTCCCTCAATTAACTTCTTTAGTGACAAAAGTGATATAATTAGTGATAATTTAGACTGTGTAATTTAAGGTTATGTTTAGAGGGGGAAAAAGTAGTTTAGGAGCGTGAAAGGGAGTAGGGTAGGCTTAAAATATATAGCAGTTAAATACTTCTCAAAACTTAAAGATGTTAGAAACGTAAATATCATTACATTTTTAAAGTTATGAATTGTGATGAGTTTTTGCAATAGCAGTTAAAAAATTATCGCAAAGGATCTACCATTATTATCCCGATAACATCGGGTCATTTATTCTAGTATCTATATATTTGTTTAAATCTTAGTTTTGTACTCCTTTTATAATACAGAAGTAGGTTAAGGTCAAAATAAAAATTCACATTTAAAAGCCAAATGTTTTAAAGAATTTGCATTTGCACAACCACACAAACAGACATATATATATATATATATATATATATATATATATATATATATCTCCCCCCCCCAAAAAAAAATCAACAAAACAAACTTAAGACTCAAGTGGGTAAAATTAAAACATAATTCGATATGCCAACATGATTGTTCATCATCTAAAATATTTTATTGAGACATAGAAATATATCTGATCATGGGAATTTTAGTCCATGTATTAACTCAATCAACTAAATGCATTTTATTTTATCATCTGTAGTCAAGCTTTTATAGCTATTTACCAAAGCTTTACTTTGTACAATGTTTGATCAATACATTCACCAAACACATACAAGGATATGCTTTATGAAATATAAGTTGAATAAACATAAACAAGTTGATCTACATGTCAGTGTATAAATGTTATGTGCATCCACATAGCAATAAATGATGTAACACAGCAGTCTGTATATTTTTAATCATGTAAAAACATACCATAGGTAGAAAAAACAGTTCTTTTTTGTAAAGATTATTATGTCAACACTAAATTTCTATAATTTCCATTATAGTCTCAATTTCCTCACTTTGATATTTTATATAGAGATCATACAAATGTCATTAAGATGTCAAGCAAAATTTGAAGATTTTTTTTTTACTCCTGCAAAACGCAAATCTGGTTTCTTTTTAAGTAAATCATAATTTTATTAGCCCTTTTTTAAATGCTAAAAATTTCATCAGCAACAAACTACATGATTTATGCAGAATCTTGTTAACATGACATAATACTTAAATTCTAGTACTACACCTCATGTCTAAATGATACTACTCCTTCAAGTACTAAACTGGTTGTTTAATTGATTACAGCTGTCATCCAAATATTTTTGGCTTAATCAGACTAATTTTGATTCATAGCATAAGTGCCATCCAAACATGTTTTATTTGACCTATATTAGTAACAAATTTATTTATTAGAACCAAAAAATACAAACACATGACATGTCTTTAAAAATTGTTCTGTCCCTCTTCAATCTATTTTTATTAACAACAATAAATCTATACATAAACAAAGTAACTACTCAGAGAAGTAAAGAAAACTTGGGTGTTTTAAAAGTTAGAAATGCAAGACAGTTAAAAGCCAAATTTTAGAAGAATTTAATTATGACCTAAGCAATTTAACACCTTAAAAAGTTAACACCGAATCTCACATAATAACTAATAAAGATTGTAGCTGAGATGGCAATCTCCACATGAGAAAGTGGAACTCTATAGTTAATATATATAGC